CTCAAGTGATCTGCCTGCCTCAGCTTCCCAAAGTGCTGAGACTACAGGTGTGAGCCACCTCACTCAGCCCACAGCTCAGTTCTTAGGCAGTGCAATGCAACGGTTAAAGTGGAATGCAATTCTCCTGAAACAATAAAGTTGCATTTAATGGAAAATATTTTATACCACTTTAGTTTTTAAGTTAGAATTAATTAAACTTAAATAAAAGTGAAAAGTCAGTTCCTCTATTACACTAGCCACATTTCAAGCTCAGCAACCACATGGGACCAGTGGCTACTCTATTGGACAGCACATATCTAGAACATTTTCATCAATGCAGAAAGTTCTGTTGATAGTGCAGAACAAGAGGCTTAAGCAGATTTAGTTTCCATTTTTTAAATCACTGCATATCATAGGTGTTGCTGTGTACTTCCTATTGCCCTATTTCACGTCCAGTTGTTCTACTTTTCATGATGCTAAGATTATTGAGTGGGTCCCGGTGTGCTTGTGGAAATGTTTAAAGAAAGGAGAAAATAAGATTTTGATGCTTTTTATTTAGGATGGACTAGGGGGCAGGGAATGATCCCCAAAGTTGGGTCAGAGCCATTTTAGCCATATAAGAATCATCTGGAGCTGGGTGCAGTGGCTCATACCTGTAATGCCAGCACTTTGGGAGGCTGAGGTGGGTGGATTGCTTGAGGTCAGGAGTTCGAGACCAGCTTGGCCAATATGGTGAAACTCCATCTCTACTAAAAATACAAAAACTAGCTGGGTGTGGTGGCAGAGGCCTGTAATCTGAGCTACTCAGGAGGCTGAAGCATGAGAATCACTTGAACCTGTGAGGCAGAGTTTGCACCGAGCCAAGATTACACCACTGCACTCCAGCCTCCGCAACAGAATGAGACTCTGCCCACCCCCCAAAAAAAAAGGATAGAAAAGAAAAGAATCATCTGTGATACTCAGTATGCTGTAGCGGTTGAGAGCTGTTCTGCTTGGGTTTGAATCCTGACTATTTACTACCTATGGGACTGTGGGCAAGTTGCTTAACCTCTCTGAGCCTTTGTTTCTTGAAGTGTGAAATAGAAAAATGATAGTCCTTAGATTGTAGGATATTGTGACGATTAAATGAGATAATGTGCATAAGGCATGTAGCATGGAATATGTGTTCAGTGAATATTAACTACTATTATTGTTGTTATAGTAAAAATACAGGTTTTAAGGCCTCACTGCTGGAGAATCTAACTTGTTAAAGTCTATGGTGGGACCTGGAAATCTGCGTTTTAAAACAGGTTCTCCCTCCAAGTGATCCCAAGGTCCTGGATCCCTTGGCCTAGATCCCTTCCTGAGATCTTTCTCTTTGGGCCCTTGGCTTTATTTCAGCTCCAGAGGAGCACATGCTGGCTGGATACCCCAGCTTCTGTCAGAGGATTGCAAACCAAAAATTAAATTCTAAGCCCCTCTTAGAATGGACCCCTCTTTCAGCCAAGGGCATTCCAGAGTAAACCTGAAAACCTTTCAGGCCATGATGGGAAGAGGGGATTGGACATGCCTCATTATACTGTCCGCCCATTGAAATTCAGGCACAAGTGACCAACATTAATACGAAAGCCATGATCTTAAGACTAACAAAACAGACTTTTTGCAGCAATAAGATAACAAATTCCAACCTGACTCTACTTATCACATGTCAAATAGCAGGCCCTGAAAGAAATGGAAATATTTTACCCTAATAAATATTTTGCCATATTTTGAAATGGCCCTGCATTTCAAAACATATCAAAAGCTGTCTTTCGTGGGAAGAAGCTACACTCTATGGACAATCTCTGTTCCTTTCCTTGTCTTTTTTGATCCTAAAGAGGTTAGCTGGGAGTCTAGCACCTTTTAAGAATGTGAATAGAAAACATTTGCCATCTATTTCCTCCAAGGGTAGCCACTTGTGAGACTTCATCTACCTAATAAAATCCTTGGTCTCCATAACGCTTGTCTTAACCCAGACACTCTTTTCTATTGATTCCAGGTCTTTTGATAATAACTCTTACAACCAATTGCCAATCAGAAAATCCACCTGTAACCTAGAAGCCCTCCCAACCCCCATCCCAACCTTCAAGTTACTCCGCTTTTCCAGATGGAACCAATGTATACCTTACATTTACTGATTGATTCTGCCTGTAACTTCCGTACCCCTAAAATGTATGAAATCAAGCTGTTACCCAATTACCTAGGGCATGTGGTCTGAGAACCTTCTGGGACTTTGTCACAGGTCTTGGGCACTCAGATTTGGCTCAGAAAAAACATCTTTAAATATTTTACAGAGTTTGACTCTTTTTGTTGATAGGATAAACAAGTCCAGTAGGGTTGCCAGATTTAGCAAATAAAAACCTATTTTATCTGGGAATCCTAAATCTCAGGGGAGATTCTTTTTGCCCTGTCAGGTCAACTATAGGATGCAAGAAGGTAGAATGTGAAAAAGTAGTATCAAACATCAAAAGTAGTATTTTAGAGTCTTTAGAGATTAATATAATTAATGAGGTCTTATATTTAAGTTAGGGGCCATACCTAGATTCTCTTGAGCCCATGAAGGGGCCATCTTTTATAGTTAAAGAAAGGTGGCTTTGGGGGCTGTCTTGCCCAATCTAACTTATTTTGCAGGCAATGAAACCAAGGCCTGCCTGGAGAAGGGAAATGAGTTGTCTAAGGTCAGTGGCAAGGCTGGAATGGAACCTAGGCCTTTAGTTGCTGGCACAGCATTTGTTCCTCTTTGTCATCTGTCTTAGTCCATTCAGACTCTGGCGTTCTGTCCCTGCCCTCCACCCCAATTAATGTCCTTTTCAAATGTAAAATGCATTCCTTCCATTCCAGTAATTCCAAAAGTTTTAATTAAGTCCAGCATCAACGTCAAAGTTTAAAGTTCAAAGTCCCATCTAAATATCTAAATCAGATGTGGGTGAGACTCAAGGTATGATTCATTCTGAGGCAGGTTGCTCTTCAGTTGTGAACCTATCACATCAAACAAGTTGTATTACAAAATATGATGGTGGGACAGGCAGAGGATACACATTCTCATTCTAAAAGGAGGAATGGGAAAGAACAAAGGAGTAACAGCTTCTGAGCCAGTACAAAACCTTGAAAATAATCTTTGGCTTAACGCTCTGCCCTCCAGGCCCATGGGGGCAGAGTGGAAGTCCTGCCCCTGCAGCTTTGGGCAACCCTGCCCATATGGCTTTGCTCTCCAAACATTGGCCGCCACCTGAAATGCAGTTCTCTGCCCAGCAGCCCACCAGCTCTCTAAGGCATCTTTTGGAATCCAAGTGAAAGCAGCCACACACCCACCAGCTTTGCTTGGCACGGAGCATGCCCCACTGTTGCCTTCCAGGAGCCACACCTGCTATGTCTGAGGAGTGTGGCAACAGAGTTTGGAGAGGAAAGCCTACAATGTGAGGCAGCACTGGCCAGTGGAGGCCCCTCCTTTGATATCATTCTGCCCTCTAGGCTCTGGCACTACGGACCTGTGATGGGAGGGGCACCCCTCTTTTCACCCCCAGTCTCTGAAATGATTCAGGGCCATTCTTCCATTGTCTTGGACAATAGGTCCTGGCTTCTGACTAGATGGCTGACTAATCCCACTATTGTCTTGAGGAATAGCACCTGGCTTACCTGGAGATCCATATTAATCTTTTTTATCAAATGGTTGCTTGGTCACACCTTTGTTCTTTCCCAAACAGCTTTTCTTATTTTTTCCAATATGAGGAGGCTGAGAATTTGTCATACTTTTAAGATTTCTTCCTTCTGAGTAACAATTTTGTCTTTAAACCATTTCTTTTCACCTTTTATTATAAGTAAACCAGGACTATAAGCAACCAGGACACTCCTTCAACACTTTGCTTGGAAATTTCCTCAGCCAAATATTCTATTTGTATTGCTTACAAGTTCTACCTTCCACAAAACACTGGGACACACACTCAATTCAGCCACGTTCTCTGCTACTTTATAGCAAGGATGCCCTTTCCCCCACTGATCAGACTAGACTCATTTCCATCTGAGACATTCTCAAAATGGCCTTTCCATCTGTATCTCTCTAATATTTTGTTGATGGCCATTTAGGTATTCTCTAAGAACACTGAGAATCTCCTCTCTTTGTGATCCCTCTCCAGAACCACCCTTATAGTCCATTTCTTCATAACAATTCAGGCTTCTTCTAGCCTGTACCCCAGAACTCTTCCAGCCTCTGCTTTTTAGCTGATTCCAAAGCAGCTTCCAAATCCACATCTTTAGGCATCTGTTACAGTAGCACTCTACTCTTGGTACCAATTTCCTCTCACAGTTCATTCAGGCTGCTGTATAACAAAATAACCATAAACTGGGTGGCGGACAAACAACATAAATTTATTTCCCACAGTTCTGGAGGCTGGGAAGTCTAAGATCAAGGTGTCAGCAGATTTGGTGTCTGAAGAGGGTTCACTTCCTTATTCCTCATAGATGGTTGTCTTTTGACTGTAACTTCACATCGTGGGAGGGGAAAGTGAGCCTTCTGGGGTCTCTTTTATAAAGGCACTAATCTCATTTGTAAGGGCTCTGACTTCATGACTTAATTACTCCCCAAAGGCCCTATCTCCTACTACCATCACCTTGGGGGTTGGGATTTTAGAATATTAATTTGGAGGGACACAAACATTCAGGCTATAGAATCTGCTTGTTTCTGTCCCCTGCCACCTCAGGTATATCGGGGGAGAGGGCAACCTCCAGGGTGACTGGGACCAGGCCTAGGGTGGGAGCAGAGGCCTTTCTGACAAAACCTCCAGGGTAATTCCTGCCCTTGTGATCCAAAAGAAAGAACAAAGCAAATACAAGCAAAGTCAGTCCCTGGTACTGGCCAGACAAAACCCCAGACATAAGCAGGGGAGATTCTGCCATACAAGGCCCCTGGGGTGGTCACGATCAGGACTTGCACCCATCAGCCCAGCCTCCTGACATGCAGAGCTGACCTGGCCTGGCCCTCCCCTTCCCCCGCTGGTGTTTTACAGAGTGTCTGGAGGAGAGCTCTTCGATTTCCTGGCCCAGAAGGAGTCACTGAGTGAGGAGGAGGCCACCAGCTTCATTAAGCAGATCCTGGATGGGGTGAACTACCTTCATACAAAGAAAATTGCTCACTTTGATCTCAAGGTCAGTAAGGGGAGAAAGGGAAGAGAATCAAGTTTAGGAAGAAGAGGCTTAGTCCTTCCTGGTGTCTTTCCCAGGATGGGCCCAGTGCCTAACAGCCCTCCTCCCTCGTCTTGCAGTGAAAATCCCTGAGCTCCTGGGAAAGAGATTATATCATGGAGATGTCCAACTTCTCAGTTTCATTTCACGTAACAGGTTTTCTGCACACAGGAGCTGACTGCAAGGAGCTCCTTAAATAAGACTTAAGGCACCTTATTTCTTTCAGGGAGCAGGGGGAACAAATGCCTTCTAAATAAGTAGACCAGTGACAGGAAACTTGAAACCAAACATATTTCACAAGACTGAACTTTTTAGTAACAATGAGCTGAGTCCTGAGTGGGCAGAACTAGAAGTGTTTGGAGGATTGCAAAAGTTGGCTGGCTCGCCAGACCCATTCACAGTGCAGCCTCCATCATCCCTTGACCAGAGCTTGCAAATCCTGGAGCCCAGGGACCGCTGGCTGCCCTTCCTGACTCACCACCCCCACCCTGCTCCAAACTGTGGCCATAAAACTGCTTCTAGAGGCCACTGATCATTTGTGGTAACTGGTATTCAGGGTTGAGAAAGTTCACTGTGACCACATAGGACTTCATAAAGCAAGAATGTTGTCAGAGTAGAAGGATCAGTTCCCTTAGTAACTGAGCTCAGTTGCACGGACTAATAAGCCTATACAGATACTTAACGTGTAAAGGTCCTCTAACTTGTGATCAATTCTATGACCTGTTTGCTGGGGCGATCCCTTCATTTCTCTATGCAGAAATCCCTGTGGTCTTTTAAGCATGGTGCTGGGTGCCTGGGTATTGCTGCAGATACAAAATTCACTGAGGCTATCTGAGATTACTTCTCTTTTCCAGGAACGTTAGTGTAGGAGATAGAAAAAACAACAACTCTAAGTACTATGCTAGCAGGAAGCCCATGTTGGGTGGGAAGCCTAAAGAAGGGGACATCTAAGTCCAATGAGGGTATCAAAGAGGACTCCCTGGAAAAAGTGCTATTGAGTTGAGTTCTGAAGAATTGGCAAGAGTTAGAAGAAGGAAAGAGCCTTCTAAGGAAGATAGGTCAGCAGAATACATGGTCATGAAACAGCGCAGTGCATTCAGGGAAGTACAGGCATGGGAAGTGTGTGCTGAGTGCCTGGGGAAGAAGCCAGGAAGAGTGCAGGAGGCAGACACAAGGGTCTGGGAGCTAAGCCAAGGAGCTTGCACTTTACCCTGAGAGATAAGGGTTCATGTGAGTGGAGAAGTGAGGTGAGCATGTACATGTTTCAGAATGATCCCTCTGGCTGGGAAGATGGATAGGCTGGACACAGCCTGGAGGCTGGGGCCCAGCTAGGAGACAAATGCAATAATCTAGGTAAAATGTGAGGAGGGGACAGAATCAGGATCTTTTGCAGAGGTCAGTCTGAGGATTGATTAGGTGGCTACTTAGAGGTAGAGATGAAGGAGGGGACAGAGTGCAGGATGACACCCAGGTTCTGGCTTGTGCCCCTGGCACAGAGAGGGAATTGTCTCACAATGGCTATGCCAGGGCGCGGGCTCAGTTCCCATGTGAGTCCCTACCCCAGCTCTTACTCTACTCTGCCTGATACGGTGACCTTCTTGGTCACCCTATAGCTTGATCAGTCCCCTTAGCATGGTCCCCTTTCTTTATGCTGATTGTCACTTTTTTTTTTGAGACAGTCTCGCTCTGTCACCTAGCTGGAGTGCAGTGGCATGATCACGGCTCACTGCAGCCTTGAATTCCTGGGCTCAATCTGTCTGCCTGCCTCAGGCTCCTGAATAACTGGGACTACAGGCGTGTGCCACTATACCTGGCTAATTTTTGTACTTTTTGTAGAGGCTTGGTCTTGCCATGTTTCCCAGGCTGGTCTTGAACTCCTGGGCTCAAGTGGTCCACCTGCCTCAGCCTCTCAACAGTGTTGGAATTACAGGCACTGCATCTGGCCGTGATTGTCACAGTTTTTTGTTTTTTGTTTTTGAGATGTGGTCTCATTCTGTCACCCAGGCTGGAGTGCAGTGGTGTGATCTCAGCTCACTGCAGACTTGACCTCCCAGCTCAGGTGATCCTCCCACCTCAGCCTCCCAAGTAGCTAGGACTACAGGAACATGCCACCATGACTAGCTAATCTTTGTATCTTTTGTAGAAATGGGTTTTTGTCATGTTGCCCAGGCTGGTCTGGAACTCCTAGGCTTGAGCAATCTGCCCACCCCAGCCTCCCAAAGTGTTGGGACTACAGGCATGAGCCACTACACCTGGCCATCACAGTATTTTTTAATACCTCCAACAGACATCTTGCAGAGTTTTGCTGAGGTGTCACAGGGTAAAAATTGGGGTCACCAAGGATGGTGAGGCCAGGTCAGGCCTTTGAACCTCAGCGGGGTAATAGCAGGAAACGGTCTGCATTGATTGTACCTGTATCACCTTCCTGGTGCTTCAATGGACAATTAACTTGTTTTCTTGTGTCTTTGCTGGCTCCAAGAGACCAACTTCAAAATGGGCTCCTTTGTCTTTCCTTGAATGGGTCTGGTGGTAGGAGTGGCTGGAGCCCAGCAGGCACCAGTGACTGCAGCAGGTTCGTGATGTTAGGCTTGCCTTTTTGGCAGCTTGCTGTGGTAGGGAGAGCACTGGCTTGGAGTTAGCCAGGCTGGGGTTTGATTCTCACTCTCCCATGTACCACGATACACCAGAACTTCAGCTTTTCACCTTCAGTGCAAATAATAATACCTATCTGGCAGAGTTGTTGTCAGGGTTAGAAAGAAGCATTAAGTGCCAAATATGGAATAGGTGCTCTGTAATAGTAGCTGTTATTATTATTTCCCATTTCAGAATAGAGGAAAAGAAAATAGAACTCTTGTTATAGTGTTTTAGGCCTCATAGACTAGGAAAACAAACCTTGTGAGTACAATTCTGTTAATAAATTACCAGGCAGAGAGCTGAGTTGGTTGCTAGGTAGAACTGCTCGAGAGGGCTGGTAAAGCTCCAGGGCTAGCCTGGACATTTTCCATGACCTGGAAACAGTCTGGGTTTCCCCTGCATGTATGTGAGGTGAGGATGCTGCTAGTCCGCACTCTGGCCAGGTGTCCTTACAGTTGTGAGGACCTGAGCTTTCTGATTCTTCCACCTGTGGGTCCCTTGGCCTAGGCCCACCTGGGCAACTTCAGGAAGTGATGGGTAGCTGGAACTCTGGAGGATTACCTCATGATTGGGTAGATGTTTCCTGGAGCCAGAATGTGGGTATGTGTGCCTCCTGGCTTTGGAATATCCTGTCAGCTGGAGGGGATCATGCAATTAAGATCCAGCTGGGAGCTTAGAGGAGACTTCTTGGTTCCATGTTGTTTCCCACCATATAAAATCCACATTTTTCTTCTTGATTTTCATTCTCCCCAATGGACTTCCACTTTCCTCTCTTGCTTATATTCTGTTACTCCTTGCTAAGCTCAGGGTCATTACTGCCCCAGGAACACAGCCAGCATGTTGTCTTCACACCCTTATCCATACCCTATTCTCCATGCACATCTTCCAGCTTGAAGGAGCAGGTATTGAAGAGGGTTAGCTCTCTTGCCTGCCTTTGGAAAGTGAACAACCTCTCTTCAGTCTGGTATTTGATCAGTTCCTCGTATGTTCAGCCATTGTGCAATGGACAGCCAGGCTCTGTCCCTGCGCGTCACATGCTCCTAGCCTTGTTGCGGGAGCAAATGGACAATTTTTTTTTTTGAGACAGGGTCTCACTCTGTCGCGCAGGTTGGAGTGCAGTGGCACAATCTGAGCTCAATGCAGCCTCTGCCTCATGGATTCAAGTGATTCTCCTGCCTCAGCCTCCTGAGTAGCTGGGATTGCAGGCCCCCACCACCATGCCCAGCTAATTTTTTTTATTTTTTACTAGAGACAGGGTTTTACCATGTTGGTCAGGCTGGTCTTGAACTGCTGACCTCAGGTGATTCCCCCCACCTCGGTCTCCCAAAGTGCTGGGATTACAGGCATGAGCCACCATGCCTAGCCCAAATGGACAAATTAATATGAGATAAGCAGTTGTGGTAAAAACAGGAGACAGAGCAAGATGACCGAATAGAAGCCTTCACTGATCATCCTCCCGGCAAGAACACCAAATTGAACAACTATCGACACACAAAAAAGCACCTTTATATGAACCAAAAATCAGGTGAGCAGTCACAGTAGCTGGTTTTAACTTCATGTCACAGAGTGAGGCACTGAAGAGAGTAGGAAAGATAGTTGTGAATCACCTACACCACCTCTTCTCCATCCTCTGGCAGCAGCCATACTGCATGGAGAAAGAACCTGTACATCTAGGGAAGGGAGAGTGCAGTGACTCTGGGACTTTGCATTGAAACTCAGTGCCGCCCTGTCATAGCAGGAAGCAATACCAGGCAGAACCCAGCTGGAACCCATGGAGGGAACATTTAGACTAGCCCTAGACAGAGGAGAATCACTCATCCCAGTGGTCAGAACCTGCGTTCCAGCAAACCTCACCACTGCAGACTAAAGTGCTCTGGGTTTCTAATAAAGTTGAAAGGAAGTCTAAGGCCGTAAGGACTTCAATTCCTGGGCAAGTCCTGGTGCTGTACTGTGCTTGGAGCCAATGGACTTGGAGGGTACACCTAGTGAGACATCAGCTGTGGTGGCCAAGGAAGTGCTTGTACCACCCCTCCTGCACCCCAGGCAGCACAGCTTGCAACCCTGGGAGAGAATCCTTCCCTCCACTTGAGGAGAAAAGAGGGAAGAGAGAAGAGGACTTTGTCTCACAATTTGGATACCAGCTCAGCTACAGTAAGATAGGGCACAAGGCAGAGTCTTGAGGTCCCCATTCCAGGCCCTAGATCTCAGACAACATTTCTAGACACTCTCTGGGCCAGAAGGGAATCCACTGCCTTGACAAGAAGGACCCAGTCCTGGCAGGATTCATCACCTGCTAACTAAACAGCCACTTGGGCCCTGAATAGTCAGCA